AGCAATGCCTCAGGACAAGCTCTAGGTGTGGTTTTGGGGCCAGGGACCTCTCTTCTCTGCATGGCTGAGGCTCTTCTCACCAGTTCTCAAGTGCCCTGTAATGACCCTGCATCCTATAAATCCACCCCTAGCCAGAGCAGTGTAAGGGCTGTGAGTTTGAAGGGGAAGTGTGGGGTTTGGAAATGGATGCCAGCAACACCCACTGCAGATGAGAGCCACCAGCAGCTCAGATACTTTCACACTAAGCAGTGATTTGATGCAGGTCAGAACAAAGCTCTTTTTAAAGACCCACAAGTGTCCATGCACATGGATTTGGGTCTGTTTCCAGGGCAAGTCTCTCCAAACTCCAAGAAAATTATCTGTAGCCTGCCCTTGCAGCCTGCCCTGGGAAGTCAGTGCCATTCAGATGCCATTTGATGGGACTCATGGTGAGATCCATCCCAGTCTGAGATAGTTATCTAGGCAGGAGTCTCCAAAGGTGGTCCACTGAAGGGAAGTGTCTAAGGTAGGCAAGATATCTCCTCCAGGATGTGTCCATTCCTCTCTGATGACTGTTGGGAAAGATGATGTCCCCTGACTAGCTGCATCTAAGGAGCTTAAAGAGAAAATCTGGTTTCAGTGAGGAGTGAAATGAGGAAGAAAAACAGTGCTGACACATCTTGGGGTGGGTGTAGCCTGGCAGAGGCTTCCTGTAGGCAGTGCTTCATACCCCAAAGAAATCCCCATCTCTATTATTTTGAATGGAGAGTTGTGCTACAAACATTACATTTCCTGTGGCAAATGCTGACCCAGCATTCAGCAAGGTAACAACAGCCACAATTTCTTTCTCCATCCAGGTCCTATGCATCTTGCTGATTCATATGAGGTCTCCTAGGGTGAAATCCCAGCTCGCCTCCATTAATGCCAGTGATGTTGGATATACCCTTGGGATTCTAATTCTGTACCTCTGAAAGTGCTGTTCTTGCAGCAAGCAAAGGTGGTTAAACTCAGCACTGCCATGCCCCCACCACTTCACCCAACACGATGCTTCAACAGTGCTGACAGGGACTTTTCCACACTTCAGCACGAGTGTTAGTCTTGGCTGAAAAATCCCAGTAACTGGAGGTTAAGTCACTCCATCCCAAACCCAATACTCCCCTCTGCCAGACCTCTCCCACTATTCTTTGATTCCTTGTCTTTCTTTCCATGCAACACACTCACTCCCACTGGAAAGACTTTCAGGTAGTGGGATCCAGTGTTTTTAGCAGTGTTGTCATAAGGATCATGCATGAAGAGATAGCTGGGACTCAACATCTCTCCCTTGGGTAGGTGAAGGGCAAGACTTGGGTGCCACTGCTGGGTTTTCAGTGACTTCAGTTCTGTAACACTGACTTCAACCACTTATGGACATTTTGTGGTGGATGAGCACTACCATCACACCCTTATGCATGGCACCTTTATCCACTGTGCCACTCAGATCAAGCTTGTAGAAGGCAAGTGTGTGTCTGTCAATAAGAAAAGTGTATATATTTCAATTATATATATATATATATATATATATATATATATATATATATATATATATCAGTTCAGGATGTTTGGAAAGGGGTTTGCATGCCTATAATGTAATGCTCCAAAATTAGTTTGTTAGGTTAATGATTGGGCTGGATGATCTTGGAGGTCTTTTCCTACCTCAATGATTCTGTGATTCTATTCCATTTGTTACATTGCTGATTTCTTTGGCAGATTTTGTAAATCTCCTAGATATGGTGAAACTTTAAACTTGGTATATTTTTGGCATGGTTTCTCAGACAAATACTCAAATATATTTAATATGCAGTTTCACAGCTGTAGGCTGTCTGGGATAAATCCTCAGGATCTGTATAGTTCTTCTGTCACCTTTCTCATTACATCTCCTGGTACTGTTCTAAACCTGAGTGTAGCACTGCTGAGGATGCCTTCCTAAGAAAACTGTGGAACAAGCAGACATGCAGACAGATCTTCAGACCAAACAACTCTTCTGAATTATGGGTCATTAGGAAATTCAAATTTTTGAAGAGAATTTGAAAAATTACCTATAAGGTTTGCCTAAGGAACCATTTCCTAGTCCTTCTCTTCATTTCCCAAGCACTCAAGTAGCAACTTGGCCTGGTTAACTTCTCACCAGCTTGTTCAGCAGCTGGGTTAGTTGTCCAGGCTGTGCTGAGCTCACAGCTGTCACAGTTACACAGTTCTCAGCACCAGTTTAAGGATAATTTGGTTTCAGCCAGGTGAATCACAGCCCTGGTAGTAACAGCAAGGGCAGGGCAGCGCTCACATTTAAATATAATCATCATCATCATCATCATCCCCACTGCAGAGTCCTGTGAAAAATGCTGTTTGTAACCAGCCAGTAAGAATGAGAGGACTTTGCCTTAGTATTTTCCCTCATATAGAAGGAACCAAGTGTTTGTTTTCCAGCTGGTAGTCTTGCTATTGCAGGCAGGCATCCAGTTATCAAGCTGGGCTCTTCCTATCACCTACCCTGCTGGCAAACAAAGCTGTGCATTTCAGATAATACCTCCGTTTTTTAGAACTGTGTTGCTCCCGTGATGTCTCTGGATATCTCCAGATAATTTAAGCACTGAACAGTGTGTTTCAGACTGGAGAGTGAGGACTGTAGAAAAACTGTATAAGCAAATGAGCTGATAGTGTTTGAGAAGTTTGAGTGGCTCTGTAGAGCAGGTCTACCTCTGATGACAGAGGACCAAACTCAAAATGTTTGGGAGTTTCTCTGGGATGAGGATAATACTATCCCAGATGTCTGCTATTCCCCCATCAGCCAGCCCAGACAGATGAAATGCAGTTGAGTTCACACAACCTCCCACTTCAGCAGCATGAAGTGTTTGTTCCTCTGCACTGGACTCTGGCATGGGCCATGCCTACCACTGCATCCATGGAAAATGCAGGAAATCTCTTGTGAAGTAGAGTTTCCACCTCATGTCTTCCCAACAAACACATTTCCCTAACTCAGTGTCCTCCTTTACGGGGATTTAAATTCAAGAAGTGTTCTGCTTGAGGTTTTGCAAGGGTTTGGCAAACACAAAAGCCAAGATGTGCTGGCTGTTTTCAAAGAGCTCTTGGAATGAACTGTGATCAAAACCAAACTCTCTTCTTTTCAACACAATTTCTGGCCCTTTATCTGTGAGCTCCCCATCTCGCTAGCATGCATTTATAAAAAAACCCCAGTGAGAAAACAGTTGGGGCAAGAATTTGCCATATAGCAAAACCCCACAGTGCTTTTGCACAAGGAACAAGAGCTTCCAAGGGAGTGGAAGCAGTTGCTGTGTTTGTGTTGACTGGCCATGGTTTCCCACTGCTGGGGGTTTCCAAAGCAAATGAAATGTTATTCATCAAGGCAGGCTCCCTCCCTAACTTTCAGTTGTTGAAAATACTACAAAGTAAGATGGAAAGAAACATGTAATCCTTCATCATCACAGTCAGGATTTACTTGTTTATTTGGATTCCCCCTCTGTTCCAAATGTTCTGCCAGAGAAAGCCCATCCAGACTCCAGGAGTGCTTGACACACATAGAAAAATTTCTAGATGTATTTAGAAGATAAATCCAGTAGAATACACTGCCTGTCCTCACAGTGCAGCAGCAAGATGAAATTCCCACATGCACAATAAAATATCTCAGGATTTTTTTGTAGAGAAAAAAAAAAAGCAGGAGGCACTGAGGAAAACTGATTTTGATGTGGATCTTCTAAACTAGAAACTTTTTGGTGGAGCTGTCCTTGAGGTTCAGGTACCTCCTCTTTTTTTACCTGGAAAGTGTGTTCCAGGTAGAAAAAGACAGAACTTGGTGTCTTTGTGGTCAGTAAAAGCAGAGGGTTGTGTTCAGAGGGTGATTCCTCCCTTTGCCCTAGGAGGTGCACAGCAGCCCCTGGAAGGGTGTCTCTCCCTGCAGATATTACAGGGGAAATGCAAAGAGAGGAGCCCAGACCTGAGTCTCACTTTTAGCTGCTTAAGAGGAGGCAACTGAATCCCATCCCAGGTGAGGCTGTGTGCTGGGAACTGAACTCCTTTGCATTGAAACTACTCAGCAGCCCTTGTAGCTGGTGTTTGTCATAAGTGAAACCATAAACATACCCATGAGATAAGAGAGATCTTTTGTGTCATCCTAGGATGAGGAAGTAGATTTGTCCACCAGATGTTTTGCAACTGCACATCACCCAACCCAGTGAATTTGAAAATGCTCAGTGGGCTGTTCTTCTAGTGATGACTTGGGGGCAGCACCTTTGAAACCACCTCTCTTTTTTATTTCCTAAGAGCCACTGGCATGAGTGAATGTCCAGAACTTGATATCCCTTCTGGGGGCAATACTGCAGTAAGTTGTGTAGGGTAGAGTTGGAGGGGCAGTTTCTAGGCAATTACCCCCTGTAATAACTTCTGTAAAAGTTATGGGATTGTGGATTCTCCTGTAGACTTCTGAGATCTTACCCTCTAGGGTTTTGTCTTAAACAAGCCAATATCATGAGGTGTTAAGATCTCTGTTCTTGGAAAGGCAAAATAACCAATTCTGTGTTTGGCAGGTGCTTCCTTATTTCACATGTTGACATAAAGAGCAAAGGGCAGGCTCTCGTCTCAGTTTGGGGTTTCTGAACCATTGCTAAGCTGAATCAAAACTAGAGCTTTCCAAAAGTGGCATCCCTTGACTCAAATTCCAGTTTAATACCAGAATTAAGGCAGCCTTTCTCCATAAACTCAATGTATCCTCAGTGTACTGGACAGGTCTGACAGAACAGTTCATAAAAGTAATTTTGAATTACTAGTATCATTAAGATCTACAATTTTGGGTCTTAACTAAATCCATAAGTGAAAGAGAGGATTTTACTTAAAAAGATATAAAAACAAAGTAAAAGTTCCCCCCCAAGAAGCATTCTGCTATTGAAAAGTTGTGAGGTGTTTTTTGCAATGCCTGAATTAACCCTTGCTGTGATAACTTTTTGTGTGAAGCTGACGTGCTGCTGTCCCCACAGCTCATGTGCTCCTCGGTGCAGAAGGCCCTGTTTGAGGAGGAGGACAGGGTGAAGAAGCTGCAGCAGAAGGTGGCGACGCTGGAGAAGCGCAACAAGCAGCTGCGAGACCGAGTGAAGAAAGTCAAGAGGTCTCTCCGGCAAGCCAGGAAAAACTCCAGGCACATGGAGCTGGTGAACCGAAAGCTCAGTGAGAAACTCTCCTCTGCTGGTGGTCAAATCCCCTATATCAACTCTTTGAAGCAGGAGAACTCCCATGGCACCTACCTTAAAGTATAATGCAAGGATAAGTGCTCAGGCCAATGGCAGTGGTGAATTTTGTCTGCATTAGATCAGGGTCTGGCCCTCACACCTTGTCCACGCTGTGCTTCAAACCTTGCATGGAAAATGAATCTGATCTTGCTTTAAACACAGTGCCAGTTTAAACAGGAATGCCAGCTGGATTTGGCACAGCCCAAAGCCATGTCCTTGCTGTTCTCAGTGGACACAGGACCAGACAGTCATCTGTGCTTCTCCTTCCTCACCCACCTCCACTTCCACCATCAGTTTTAGGTTGTCTTTGATGGAAGTGCCAGCCCAGCCCTCAGGGCCATTGCAGTCATTTGACACAGGAGCTCATCCTGACAGTTTACCTTCTCCTCATGGGCTGGGTAAGCAAGGCTTGGGATTTAGAGATGGATGTGGTGGGAAGGATGAAAGCATGAATGCCCTTTGTTCCCTTATCACCCCCACGCTCTCAGCCTTGCTTGAGCTTGACTGAAGTCTTCATCCAGTGCCTGGGCATAGGCTGTGTCTGAGACAGGCAGTTTGTGCCTCTCTGCAGCACAAAATACAGATGTGGCCAAATTGTCTAAAGGCTCTTCCTCTATATCCTTAAATGTTCTAAATCAAATACACAACAGTTTTTATTTTTCCAAGTGCCTCAAGGCTCTCAGTGACTCCTTCAGGTGCCTTTATCATTGGTCAGCCAACTGGGTTGGAAACCACATCATTTTGGGATTGTGTTTAAGACCCAATACTGGAGTCAGGAGTGGACTTAGCCTATGAGTGGGTGTTGGATCAGGCCCAGCAGGCAATTTCAGATCCCATTCTCAAGCAGGTTTAAGTTACAGTGTGGACAAAGCTTCAAGTTTTGTAGTCACTGTTTGAGGTATAATGGAGGTTGCTGGGCAGCCTCACTTAGTTACACTTAGAACCTGTAGAGACCACATCAATATCAACAGGGCATTAAAATTTAGGTAGTTTATATATGTATATATTTTAAAATCCTATAGAAAATATTTTTATTACACATTTGATATAGTCTAATTTCTTAAAATATGAAGTAAAACCTGTTTCTTGGTTATCTTGTAAAAAAAGAAAAGTCCATCATATCCTTTATTAGGCATTTACAAACTGACTTCTGCTCAAGTAGTGTGGATTTAGGCATCAGTATCTGTGGCTGATAATGTTAATGCTTGAAACTCTCCCTGCTCCTGGAAAAGCCCATATCAACTTTCAAATGTGAGCTTCAGTCCAAGCAGAACACAGAAGCTGACTCTCATTACCTTCCAGTTTTGCTCCTTTTGGAAATACTTTTTTTTTCCCTCTTGAAATAATATTGGCATTTCTTAAGATTCTGACTCCTCCACAAGCTCCACTGGTTTCAAAAGCTCCACCTCCCACATCACCACAATTTAAATTGTTTTCTGCTGGAGTCAGCAATGCTGTTTCCTGAGAATAACTACAGAACTTAGGCTTCCCTAGAAGCCATCAAGAGCTTTTAATTCCAAAATTTAGATCCATAGAAAATTAACTACATTTTATTCTTTTATTTTCTGATTTCTAAACTACTGTTTAAATAAATAAACTGGTTTTCCTATGATAGGTATTAAAAGCTTGTGTTTTAATTTTATGTTAATAAAAATATTCCCTCTGGTACTCATTTATGTTTTATAAGTGTTTGTATAAACCTGAGAAAGTATAATTAATACAGTTACACCTTTGCTATTCTTACAGATTTTCCAAACACAGTGTTGAATATATTTTTCTTTTGGCTGGTATTTTTGTTGCTTGATGAAAAGATTGGAATTTTCTTCCTGTTTCCCCTTTTATCTTCCTGAAAAGAAAAAAAAAAAAAAAAAGTAAAACATTTTGTTCCCTTGTAAGTTTTGTGAGAATTTTTTAATTCTGCAAAGAAAACAAAAAGAACCTCCCCAAATGCAAAGTCTAAATGCGACCTAAAATGCTCTCACTAGGTACAAAGCCCAAGAAGGTTATTTTCTTGTGAGTTTTTTCCCTTTCTTTCCTGCTTGGGTTTGGATCATTTCCAGAGATAAGGCCTGGCAGTCAGATCAGGTCACAAGTTAACCCTCTCGACAAGTAACAGGGGATGTCAAACCCAAATGAAAATGCCATTAAAGTGTCAGCATTGATTGCCTGTCCCTGCTGGTGACAGTATCCAGAGGGTGACCAGGGAGGCTGCACATGCAGGAAACACAAGTGGAATGAGGAATTTGGGTTATGTCTACCCAGGCTGGTACAGCTCACACACGGTCTGACACATGCTAAAACTTTTAGACTCACTCCATAGCAACTTCAGGGATCAGCTCATCTGGAGACCTGCAAAAAGGACAAAATTTCATGTCATTTCCAAGAGTAAGGGGAAAGGCATAATTGGAAATGTTCCTCTTGAAAAGCTGTGGGAGGAGACTGAGATGCAGAAATTGAGTTTGGCATAGGTGAATGGGTTGGCAAGAGATGGTGTAGAAACCCAAAAATCATCCTGGTGAAAAACAAAAAGACAAAAAAAAAATATCTCCATTTGGTTAGAAACAACACCAAAAGTGTCTGCCCCCTTTGAGAAGTTCAAAGATGCTTTACAAATTGGTAACATCTGCTTTTGAAAAACATATCAGGAGCTTGAAGGCTGCCAGAACATCTGCAGGACCAATGCTAGGGGTTTCCAAGCAGCTGGACACAACTGGTGACAAGGATGGGATTTTTGGCATCTGTATTGACTGTGGGGTTGTTTTTGTGGACAAATAAATTTTTCCTGATGGATACAGATGATGACAAGAAGAAGTGAAAGAGCAAAATTAATAGTAACAGGACAGAGTGATTGTAAGAAGGACAGGAGAAGAGAAGAGAAGAGAAGAGAAGAGAAGAGAAGAGAAGAGAAGAGAAGAGAAGAGAAGAGAAGAGAAGAGAAGAAGAATGATGGAAAGAAACAGGATTAAGGATCCTCTTAAGAACTGTCCTCTTTTAACCATCAACACATTTCTCTTGTACTATTTCTGACACAACTTTTACAGGACTTGTGTGTCTCACCACAGCGTAAGTGGATAATTCAGATGGTAATCTGCACCCAAAAACATCTTGAATTTTTAGACTTTACAACTGAATTTTCTGGGTTTTTTGAAAGTGGATGTTTATAGAACAAAGTGCATCAAATAAATTATTCTCATAAATCCCAATATCATCCTGATCTAAAAACCCTACCTAAATAACTGGGGAAGAACCACAAAGTGAGGGAGGATTTATGGGGAGCAGACACTGTTAGCAGCTCTCTTTGCTCCTTAACACCAAAACCATTGAGAAAAAAATTATTTCCTTATGTTTGAATAATAATTTAGAGAAATATCCATGTTATTCTGTTTGGGTTTTGGCAGAAGGGGGTTTTGGAACCAAAGAGCATATCAGTGTTTCAGAGTTGTATCAGTAAAGCCTATTTCTAATACACAAAACCTCTCGCCAAGCTAGGTAATCTCCCATTAATGAGGCTAAGGAGCCCAAATTAATTTCTGAAAGTAGGAGAAAAAACATAGAGGCAAAACTGTAGAAAGCAGATAAAACTGAAAACATATGTCATTTTTTTCTTATAACAAATCCAAGTAATTGCAAGGAAATTTCATTTTCCTCCCTATTTAACCCAAATTATTTTCATTTAATCACAGAAATGCACCTATTTCCCTCCAAACCAGCCTGCTTTGCGTGTGAAAGATTGTTTCCAGCATGTGCTTGGGTTCAGGCATGTTCCTAATCCCCTGAAACAAACACAGCGAGCAGGACAGCACGTCCCAGCACATGTGGCACTGCTGGGAGGGCTCACTGGCTGTGCAGGAAACCAAACCAAGCCATCCCAACAGGAATGTCTGGGAAGGCAGGCACAGCAGGGATTCAGTGGGGCAGGAGCAACACTGTCTTTAGGAGGAGTGACCTTTTAGGGGGATCAGGATTTGGTGCAGATGACACCAGGCTGGGTGAGAACTGAGATGTTGATCTGCTTGAGGGTGTCCCTACAGTGGGAGCTGGACAGGTTGGTTTGATGGGCTGAGACCAATTGCATGAGATTAAATAAGGTGAAATCCTGCACTTCAGTCACTGCAACCCCATGCAGCACCTCAGGCTGGGGGAAGAGTGGCTGGAAAGATTTCCAGTGGAAAAGGACCTGGGGGTGCTGGTCAACAGAGACTGGACATGAGCCAAAGAGGGCCCAGGTGGGCAAAAAGGACAATGACACCTGACTTGTACCAGAAATATGAGCCCAGCAGGATGAGGGCAGTGATTTTGTCCCTGTACTGGCCACTGGCAAGGCCATACCTTGAACTCTGGGTTCAGTTTTGGGCCTCCCAATCACAGGAAGACCTCGAGGTGCTGGAGTGTGTCCAGAGGAACGAATGGAGCTGGTGAAGGGTCTGGAGCACAAGTTTAATGAGGAGCAGCTGAGGGAGCTGGGGGGCCCAGCCAGGAGAAAAGGTGGTTCAGGGAACAGTTTATAGTTCTTTACAATACCCAGAAAGGAGGTTATATGTGGTGGTTTATATTAATTTCCTTAAATAGTTCCCTGCCAAGACCTGGGCAACCTCCTCTGGACCTGACAAAAACCAATTGGTGTCTGATTTTTAGTATTGACACATTATTACACCAATGAAAAAAGTTTATATGCCTTTGTGAAACACACATGTAAAGATGAAAACCCCCAAAAATCTCTCTTTTGGTTCAGCAAGTAACTAGTCTGACTAGGGCCAGGCCCTAGTCCAAAACCACTACACTGTACGATGCTCTTCTTGCAGGTAACAAATAAGACTACAAGAGGAAACAGCCTCAAGTTGTGCCAGGGGAGGTATGGCTTGGATATAAGGAAAAATTTCTTCACCACAATGATTGTCATTCCCTGGAAAAGGCTGCCCAGGGAAGTGGTAGAGTCACTGTCACTGAGGGTGTTTAAGACGTGTGGATATGGTATTTGGGGATATGGTTTAGTGGTGAACAAGGCAGTGCTGGTTTAACTGTTGAACTAAATATTCCTGAGGGTCTTTTCC